AGATTCCTGCCGTTTTCTCCTTGGTCTCAGTACTATTTGAACCACATGGCGATTTTGAACTTGAGCCCCGCCCACTTCGGTGCATGCCCCCTCCACCAAGAGCTTTTGCACTTCACCCTTCGTCAATCATTGTCCGCATTTTTCTGGTCTCTGGACTGTCTCTAAGCCAATAAGGTTCAAGGCTAACTCCGCCCACGCCCCACCCACCGATAGCGTAGGAACCTTTTCTTTCTCACCAACCTCCATACACTCTTTTTCCTGGTCTCTAGACTGTTCACAATCAAGCTATAAGAATTGCGAGAAAGTCCGCCCGCACTGGGCAGGCCCTGCTCACAAGTAGCTTGGATCCTTTCCTTCGAGGACCTTTATCCACTTTTTCCCCGTCTCAGGACTGAATCTGGAACCACAGATGCTCCTGCTTTGGCCTCTGAGATTGGGATCAGTTCCATTCGGTTAACGCTCTGGTACAATCGCCCTCTCGGACCTGCAGATCGAAGCGTATTTTTACAGAGGGTGGAGGGTGAGTTATTCAATTCTATTCCAATGGCGCGGCTCTCGTAAGGACAGCTTTATAATTGGCTGAGGCAAACATGTGGGTATCTGTGTGGGTTTGGGAAACCACCAATTAATTATACCTGGATTAATTATTATATTAATTATATAGCTATACGTGTTTCAGGCCTGCTATACACCGAAATATCGCGGAAGACAAAGGATTCTTTTTAAAACTGTTTCTCGGTCTTTTTGGAATTTTTGGAACACTTAGAATTTTTTGAACTTTTGGAGCTCTTTTGGAATAAAATTTTAGTGCCAATTTGTGTTACACAATATTTACGTGGTTTTGTAAACAGATTCACCCAGCACCTTTTAAGATCACATGAAGGAAACTAAGGGGAATGAACCACGAACGATTTCGTAAACCCCTAAATTTGAAGTCGAGCGCTAGAAAGATGCTTAAGCAACACACACAGATCAAATTTTTGTGGTCATAACGGTCGGTAATGGAGTCGTGGATGCCGTGTTACTAAAAATGGAAAAAAGAAGCGAAGAAAACCGTTGATGAAGTCCTAAACAAGGACCTTTGGAAAAAGAAAGACGAGGTCGGACGAGATTTCTGAACTTGCTCGATCCACGGCTCCACTAAGGCTGGTGTCAGAGTCCGCGATCCGTCGCAGGTTTCGCTGATTTCAGCGATTTTCGCGATTTGCAAGTGCCCGATCAATACTGCAAGGTGTTCTCCAATCCTGCCGCCACTTCTGCTTGATAGTGATGGCTGAATGACGACTGCTCATGATTCCACTTGTTTCATATTCAGTGTTTCAAATGTTCACACACTTGCAATCTTTTTTCGCGAATCGCGCAAATCGCGAAAATCAGCGAAACCTGCGACGGATCGCGGACTCTGCACCAGCCTAAGGCAATCCGCGCAACCAGAAGTACATGAATATTTACGTGAACTTGCGTGCCGATGCTTCATCCGTAGCCGACAAATGAACGAAATCAATGCGAAACTACATTGAACGCAGACTGTTGCTGTATATTACACAAAAAGCATCGTCAAACCCCTACAAACCCTTAACAGTCACCAGCTGACCTTCAAAAGCCTGCGTGAAGAGTGTGAAAAAGTCGTGACAGTATTTTCTTGAAAGTAAAAGGAAGAATATAGACCACCATGAGCTGTCGTTTAATCTATTCCTTCCTGATTGAATAACAGGATACAGGTAATCGTATTTTCCAAGCCCAATTGTGAATGGAAAGGTTCAAATTTACTATTGCGAGTTGCTTACTTGAATCGGACAATATGTCGGATCTGGCATCTTGGATTTCGCCGCTCCATGACTATATTTTTTGCGATGCTCAACAACTTCAGGAGGCTCATCGACTGCCTGGTGAGGCTTCGAACTGTGTGGATTGGATATCGCTTTGTTCTACAGAGCAAACAGAAATTCACACACTAGTAATCCATATTCGAAAGAAACTGACAGCAAATTTCGACAACTCACGTGGTCAACTAATGGCTTCTTCCTCCGCACAAAATTCAGCCATTCGTACGCACCCTCCTTCTCGATTTCCTCACGCTTTGACGAGGGAATATTGGAACTCTTCAAATCTGGCGATTTGGCTACAGCTGGAGACTTCTTCTTCTCCGTCAAAGAAACTGAACAAATAATTATATTCCATGTAAAAGCGAGACAGTAAATAGGGTCAGTATACTGAATCACCTTTCTTTCGACGCTCTCGACTGTTCCGCTGGATATTAGTGACAACAGGAGTATTGTACTCCTTCACAGGCGATGGCCGCAAGTTAAAGTTCACTTCCACGCGTCTGCTGTCGATTGTTTCCGCCAAAGAATCAGCTGAGTCAAAGCCCTACGAGAAAGCTGATTATTATTAATAATAACATTGAGACAACAAGAACGGCGTTTAATAGTAGAAGGCGTACGGTTTTTTGTGGTAACAGCGCCAACAAATTGCCATGCGAACTAGACATTCGTCTATTGAATCCTTTATTAGCTACTGGTGTTGGAATTCTCAGATAGTTGAAGGAATCTGGAGACTTGAACGGTTGAACTGATGTTAACCTGACATGGTTGAGGTAAATGGTTAGAAGACATCTGCTGTCCGGAAGTGACTTTACTATAACGTAACAAGCAAGCTTACTTTGCAGAGACGTCCTCCTGTCTGCCAGAACGTTCGGTACACGAGTTGCTTCTCACCAAACGAGGAGTCTTGGACATTCCAAATACATCACAATCGTCAACAAAACTAAATTTGAAGTAGAAATTTTTCAGAATATACTGTACTTAAGTCGATTACAATCGCGGGGACACGACAGTCAATACAAGACACACTTGATTGAGGCATCAAGCTCCGGGACGTAACCAAGATCATAACAGTGAATAAAAATCCTGCGGACTAGAGCAAAACAACCAACTTACAGGGCAACTTTTTCAATAGCTGAGTTCGCCCTAGTGGCCGTCACCTATTTTGAAACACTCACACATAAAGTGCTGCGTTATCCTTGAAAGATAGCCTTTTCACCGGGATTTGGACGAACTCTTTCGATGAATCCTTGATCCAAAAATTTTTGGAGCAACGTTACACAATTTGACCTGGAAAAGCTACCATTCAAATGATTCGTAAAACCCATATATCACAGCACTCGCTGATCTAGGAAGAGAAAGGGCTTGAAGTGGATGGGGCACTGCCTGAAAGGTTGAGACCAAAACCTATCAAAATATATTTTTGAACTGTTAGAACTGACGCCCGCTTATGGTGGTGGATAGTGCTATAGGACGTGCGAAGTTGAAGCGAAAAATGAGCACATTTCCAAAACACCCGAATCCTTTACAAAAATAGCAGTGGAGCGCTCCTGACGAAGAAGGGAAAGAAAATGATTTTTAGTGGTCGTAGTATCCCCTTGCTCTAGACGACGAACTCTGTTTTAGAACCCCCACAGGGCAATAAATAATGGACAGAGACACTAGCAGTACAGAGGACAGCATGACAAGCCCGAGATGAGAGGATGCATGAAGGGTGTGCAATTCCATCTCAAAAACTGGTGGACAGAAAGCAATTGAACGGTGATTTCTGCAGCTTCAAAAAGGGTGATCTGAGTTGCACTAAGTCCTGCGTATTCTTGCGAGAACTTGTGACTCGAGTTCAACACGACTCTTAGAGCGAACAGGGTTGGAGGAGTCATATAGTAATGAAAAAATATTCGAAAACAATATTGCTTTCCACTAAAACCACCATTTACCGACCTCACACCTACATCTACTCACTTTTCCTTCTTGTTTCCTATCCCAACGCACAAAAGCCATCAATAGGAAGGAGAGGGAGGGAGGGGAAAGGTTTATGCACACGACTAATCACAAATCCTTTCACTGATGCTCCCGAGAGGTTGAGTGCGGTCAACCAATGCTGCTTCACACAGATTCTTCCTTAAATTTCGTAATCTGGAAATTGGAAATGAAGGCATGCTACAGGGAAGAAGGACGTCTGATGACAAACTTGGGTGTTTTCCACGTAGTAGACGCGGCGATCGTCTCGATAAAATTATATGTATTTTTTACACTCTTGATGCAGAGGCCATGTGATGCCTCGGACCAATTTTGTAACTACGATTTATCTTAGGCGGGTCTACGGACTTCACGTAGCGGTATTCATTCAGCGTTTCACGTGTTTATATGATTCCATGCCACTACCCTCAATCCTCTCATACCTCCCGGTCGACGGACTACTTGAACACGGTCCTTTAAGCCGCCTCAATCCGATGCTCGAGGATGGGACACGCCTCGAGGATCGGGTTCCATCCAAGCATCCGTCTTCCGGATATGCCCCTAAGTTGGGGATATGTTCTGAGCTTGGGCACGTATCCCAACGTCGGAGACCGATCCCTACGCGGGTGAGGGGACCCATCCCCAGCCGGGGCTTGCTGCACCCGTCTCCAGAAGTGAGGCCCAAAAAAATGGACAACAAGAATAAGCTGTGAGCACCTCTCAACTTGACGACCCTTCGAAGATCAACCTGGGTAGCAGAATCAATAGGAAGTCCACTGCTTCCTTCCCAGTGAAGGTGTCCTCGAAATAAGTAAGCTGCCGTCGATTGCCGCTTAAGTAGGAGCGAACATCATTCATCTCCCGAAATATGGCGGAATGATGTTACTATTCCCGCTAAACCATCTTCAAAACGGTTTACTACGCTGAACCTCAACCAGGATAAAATCGACGAATACGATGAAAGACCAGGCACTATACACTCAAACGCACCCAAGTCCGTCGGTTGCTTTTAGATATCTTGCCGGCGATTATTGGTGGTGCAAGCCAGCAGACTTAAGACCGTCCTCACTCTCTCTCCACTCTCGCGCCCGTCCTCCTCAGCCAAACTCATTTAGCACCTACTTTGAGCGCACTACAAAGCTGTATATCGCTCAGACATTACGACAAGCGTACGCAGACGAATAATCAAAGATCCCTCTGATAACCGAAAAGGTCTTACGCAATCTGAAAAAAAGAAACACTGGACCAAGCCTGTTATTTAACTTTTTCGAGCTATTACATACTATTTTATGACTTGATCTGCATGACGAAAAAAAAATTATGAATTTTTCCCGTCACACAATTTGTTAAAATCGAGTTTGTTCAGTTGTCCGGTTATTTGATATAAAAGATTGAGCGAGAGTCTCTACGCTACTGACCAGCTATCCACACTATCAGCGACCTTCAAATCTGGCGTTATTTGGAATATGAAGGAACTCTGAAACAAATGAACCACGTTCGAACCACTACAACCCATCAAATGAGTCCAAAATGCACTTCAAAGAACGAGGACTAACAAAAATCATAGATCCATTTCGTGTTAAATAAATGTTCGCGCCAAAAAGGCACATTCAAACAACCAGCACACCGTCGCTGACCATCGGCAACAAGCTCATCGTTGCGGAACCAACCTGCTGTATGTCACAGTTACAACACACTAGTATAATGTCCGAATTTTAGCAGGGGCCGTATGCTGAATGTTGGGTAGGGGCTGGGGTGCCCGACCCGCGATGCTGAACGTTGGGAAAACCCTGGGAGCCCCATCATGGTTTCGTCGCAGGACCCACCACCCATCGACCGCACCTTTGATTTCGCAACCCTGCACAACGATGGGTTACTATGAGTAATGATTATCGTTCTTATTAATATGTCTTATGACTGCGTAGGCTATTCATTTTCTGTGTAATTGCTGCTGAAACGCGCCTCGATTATGGCCCAAAATGGAGGCGATGCCGTTCTAGGTCTCTTAGTTATTTGTTTTCTGTTCATATTTCATAATGTTTCAGGTTTCAACATATGGATCGTTGACCGTAGCAACAAGATTCTTATATGTTCAGGTATGTTTCGTTTTGTTATTGTATATATGTCATTCTAGAAGGGCACGGTACTGACGGTAATGTGTGGCTTCGGGTTCTAATTGACCTCGCTTAGCGCCAAGATCGTAAACGGCTGTCCGAAGTAGCCGCGGGTATCGAGAGTTTGCCCAATGAGCATTCGACGGCTCTGAAGAGAGTGTCTCAAAGTCTCGCCTGGTACTTGAAGGGTCTTCGAGTCACGGCCTCCACCGTCCATCAATATCGGGCTCTCCCTCGCGACTATAAATAGTTGATATTCGCATGCCATTATTTTTCGTGTCAAAAAATTTTTTTTCAATGTGTACCGGTTTCTTTCTACCATTTTGATAATGTCGAATTTTTTTTGCTGTACGTAAATGTCGTTTCTTTGCTCTTCTCTAATTTTATTCATTTCACTCCCTTTTATTTTCGAGGACGTATTTCGTAGTGCTGGCTATCTTTCGCATTGTGGTAGCGCTATGAGTTTCATTTTTTTTGTCTTGTGTCTATTTCACTTCCATTATTTCTTCGGATTGCAGTTTCTTCGCGCCGAGTCATTTTTTGTACCAGGTAGGTTTCTTATTGCTCTTTTACTTCTTCTATCCTTTCACTATTTCAGTTTCCAAGGCTCTTTCCTATGTGGTAGACATTATTGCCATTTTGATACGATTGAGTTTTCTATCTAGTTCGCTACCAAAGTTTTTCGGATTGCAGTTTCTTCGTGCCATTGTAATCGCCGACTCAATTTTTGTCTCAGGTAGATTTCCTTTTGCTCTCCTGTCTACTGGTACCCCGTACCTTAACTGTGAAGAGTTCGATTATTTCTTCGGAGTAAATCTGCTTGAACTCTTGATTACCCGATGCTGGGTGTTTTTCTATTTTGCTTATTGAGATAAAATCGAATGTAACTGTGCTACATGAGGTGTTTCCGATGTTCAGTATTTGCTTAGCCAATTTCAGTCCGGAGCTTTGGTTATAGAGCGTAAGTCGGGGGTTGCCTCTTCAATGTTCATCCGAAATGAAATGGCAGCGCGTCGTTGTCAAAAAGGCTGATTTGTCAGGTTTACACCGTAAGATCTAATATATCACTCGAATGGAAGCAGAAGACGGTGCGGATTGCCCTTGGTGTTGTTGTGTGCAGTTATTTTATAGCATAGACAGCACCCATTCCAGACTCAGGAGATTCTCTTGGAATTCGATGGATTCCCGCTGAAATTACCGCTTTCTCTAGTTTTATGCAGAACGTAAGGTAGTGCGTCATCATAGGATGAGAATTCCATTAGGTCTCTGAGAGAAACGAAACGTTCAAAAGCGCAAGTGTCAATCAGAGGGTGTCTTCGTCTAGCAGTGTCTTTTTCGAAAGAAATCAAGAAAGTGGTTGTCATTGCGTTAATTTTGTTATGCGTATAATGTTCCAGAGTTGTCAGGTTATCAAGTGCTTTTGAGATTTCGGAGGTCAATTTCAATGACCTCGAGCCTCGAAGAATCCATCCGTCCTCTCTTTCCCGCGCAAATCAAATTGTCGAAGTCTTTGTTGACAGTCATCGCCATTTCACCCTCCTGGAATTAGCTGAATCGTGGGGCATCGTTCTTCATTCACTCTAGTCACATTACATTCCATTAGAGGAGGCGGCGCGCAGGAAACATTTATAGCTCTTTTGTTTAGCTGGTCTGGCAGATCCCATCTTCTGCTTACCTCCCAGCTGTTGGTGGTAGCACATTCTCAAATCGATTTTAGCTTCGATACAATCTCAACATCTCTACCTTGTTCCTGCGTGCGAATTGTTCAATTTCGTTATTTTTTTTTTCGTCGCAGGCCGAGATTTCGTTTATTGCTTCGTTCAGAAGGTACTGTATTTTTTCTCAGATCCCATTGCAATTTTCATTTTGCAGCACTATGCCGGTAATTACTTTTCGAACGATAACGCAGTTGTGTCCTTTCCACACATGGATGCTCGAACGCGCCACACCCGTTGAACATGGTATGTGTCTTTCTTTAATTTCCTTTCTTTACAATTATCCTTCTGCTGTTGTAATTTCTCCGAGACTTTACCTTCACAGACTTGCGCTTTGAGGTTTGACTCGCAAAGCGCCGAGATGCTCAGCCACTTTGTCTGATATGCGAGTGCCGCGGAATTTGCACCAAGACTCGGACCGCTCGCTTGCAAGCTCGCACCAAGCGACGAGCTGGCGCCGTTTGTGTCGTATAACGGCGGTGAATATAACAATCTCCCAGTCGCTCGCCAATTCTGCTTGATTCTCGCGACATTCCGTCCGCTCCCTTGCAAACTAGTGTGAACGAATCGCCGCTCACAAGTTCGAGAGCAAAGTCTGCATCCAGCTCTGCACGAATGGCACATTGACAGCATACCATGATTGACAACATCACGTCTGTTTTGAAATTCGCTATACTGCTCTTCTAAAATTTAGTCGTTCTGTCAGCGAATTCGTTTTGACGCCGCTATGGCACTGCTCGTCGTTTCGAGCGAGAACAACGTCGCATATTACTCAACTCATTGCGTCGTCTTCAAACTCAGCGGATATAGTAATTCCTTTCAAACCCTTTTTCTTTTTATAGAGGACCTTCACGCGTCATCGCGCGTTCCAACATATGTTTGAACATAGTGCCGCAATACACAAATAAATGAAAGCTATCCATCCGAAACATCAATGGTGCCGGTTTGTCTAAAAATATTGTGCTTATCGTGCTTTTTAATTTGTATTAAAAAAGAGGGTGAGTTTAATAGGTATGATGCTTGTGCTAAAAATTGTTTTCAGATGGCCGATGTAAAGAAGAAAATTGCAGAGGAAAAAGGTGAAGACTATGCGGTGGAGCTTCAAAAATTGATTTACAACGGGAAGGTCGGTATTTACCCGTCATGCTTATCGCAATAAATAAGTAGCATTGGTATCTTACAGATTCTTGATGATGCAACCACGATAGAGCAAGTTGATATCGATCCCAATAAATTCGTGGTGGTGATGTTGTCGAGGGTGAGTAATTCGTGAACACGACGGTTACAAAGGTTTTATGTAGCTTTGAATGTTATGTTATCCTCGAGGTTTTTTTTTTAAATTTTTTGTCATTAACAATAGCTCTATGAAAAATGTTAGGTTGTCAGAAAAGCCCTGGCACATTTGTCAATTTTTTTTTCAATTTTTTTTTCTCCTGTAGTACAGCTAACATACGCAATAATACATGCACAATTATTGTCGTCGGAACTGCACTCTTCAGCATGTAACCTCCGGTTGCCGATCGCTCAGAAATCCTCAGCTTTCGAGACGAAGACTTCGAAGAAGTCTTTCCGAGTAGATTTGAATCATCGGGCTACCCCTCTCCCGGATGATTCGATTCAGCAACATATACTTATGGTAGTCTGTTGTGCCAGGATTGTGAAAAACACCAGGCTTGTCAGATTATCCCATAAGAAACATGAAGACTTGCTGAACCTTCTTCGTAAATCGTGGGTGAGAGCTGCCGAGATAAAGTAAACTTTGCCAGATTTTCCTAGCACCATGCCGGGAACCGATCCACTTGCCAACATTATTGTTCACCAATAGCAGTGGACTTCGTTGGCAGCAGCTCTCCGTGAGCGAAACAATTGCAGCCACATGAGCTCTTAGAGCTGCCTCTCAGGTTGCAAATCTGGAATCGGCGTTGCAATCCTTTGTTCTGCGCACCAGAGCACTTTCGCGTGTGGTTTTCTGAAGGCATTACTTTTTTGTTACTAGTAATCAGATCACGAAATATCCTTTACGCCATAATTTCACTTTCCGAGGCGATATTGGGAGCGTCTATTGTGCTCTGATAACACTAAAAAAGCTCTGCCAGTTTCCGTGCATTGCACCGGGAAGTCTTTCCAATCGACTTCAGAACACACTCTCTGTTTAGTGTAACAGGCCCACCAGATTCGTGGTTTTTTCTCAGTTATCTGGTCATCGGTAACCAAATGCCTTTTGTGAGAGATAGGCTGGGATAACCGCAACGTGCAGGCCTCTTGCTGCGTCGCTTCCATCGACGCTCTCTGTTTGTAAAAGCAGGAGCAGTCCAACATACCTTCAGTGAAAGACGATTTTTTCAGCTTCAAACGCTGCGAAATGCTACGACAGAAATGCTGTGGAGAGAGCATTGACCACCGCTCACATGCGTTTTACAGTGAATGTTTCAAAACGATCCCAAAAGAGTTGCAAGATGAAGAAGGAAATGCGCTGACTTTTCCGACAACCTAGTATCTCTTTTCGATCGTAAAGGCATCGATACCAACCTCGTATCGCATGCGAAATCATGCTCAGCGAAATATTTCAAGAAAGTCTTTGTTCAGTGTTCCTATATCATACAGATTTCGAAGCCACCTTTTCCAAACAGCTTTTCGCTGTTTTCAAGCATGTTGCAGGAATATTTCTCGTCAAATTGTGATGATAGCAAAAGTACTTATAGCTATCCAGCCTTGAGTAGACAGTAAATAAAAGTAGAGATTTCATCTTTTTATATTTAGAGGAAAGCACCTGAAGCAGCTCCTGCTACAACGACCACTTCAACTCCTGCGCCAGCGCAGTCTAGTGCGCCTGCTCCCGCAGTTGCAGCCCCTGAAGCAAGTGCACAGTCAGAACCTCAACCACAGTCTACTCCTGCAGAAGTTGCCTCTTCTACTCCCGCACCGAAGCCGGCTGCAGAGACCACCCCTCAACCAGCGCCTGTACAACAGTGTTGGTTCATTCACAGCTATTACTACTTTTTGAGCTGTTATTATTTGTCATCATTTCTAACTGTAGGGCTTTCATTTTACACAAATAATTGAAGTTTGGCAGTTCGCCTCTACCGCAATCGATTTACGCAGAATGCGTTCTCTACTCCCGCGTTAAATCAGGATTGAAGGAAACTGCTGCTAGAAGTCAATTGTTTGCGTGCGAAACTAAATTTTTCTTTCGTACCAAATTCACTTCATTATTATTTCTAATATCAAACCAACCCCGAAAAATCTACATTCTTCCAGCAAGAGGGGACACCGTCCCTGTAAGCTGGTCTAATCCGAATATTGCTCAAAGACATTGGAAGCTGGAATTGGAACAACGGCGGTTACATGCAACTGATCGAGCATCCTTGAGCCTTTTCCCTCTGCTAAGCCCTAGCCCTAAAGATCATTAGTAAAAGGGGATAAATTGTTGCAAACGCCTTGAGTACTTGTGCCGCAATGCTATCCCTCTACTGGAAGAGCGCCAAAATTCTGTATCAAATTTTAGCTTCAATTTTGAGATATATACTTTGCGTTTTTCGAAGAATTGCTTTTCAATTCAGGTGGCTTTTTATTTACCTAATTGGTTTCTCGTAATTAATTTGCGAAGTTAATATTATCCCTTTCCTCGCGCTGTAACTTTGGCCCGCTCTATGACAAGTAAATATATTTCACCCCTCCCTTTTTTGCTTCTATGCGTTATCAGTGGTGAAGTCTGCAAGCACAATGGGAAAGTAAGAGGAAAATGGATGTGGGTCTTGCGTCATTACTCCGATTCGGGATTAGTGTGCAAGGCACACGGCAAGCGACAGAGTGAGACGGTGTCACCCTCGTTCTGTCGATTGGTAAGGAAGCGCAATGCGAGTTGCCAATGTCTACTACTCAAAATTGACCCCATTTTGGTCGTAACCGCTTAAGATTTCTTCTGGCCCAATTTGCCCTCACTGTTTCGGTAAATATTTAAAATTTGGAATATCTGGCTATACTCTGATGATGTTTTATATAGTTCTTATGCATCGTGATCAATCTTAGTTGATTCAGCTTTCACCACCGATCAGGAGTCGTCTATTGAAGCCATACAAGCGATGGGATATCCTCGTGATCAGGTAATTCTCAATTTTTGTTCTATTCTTCGGACGCTTTCATGATTTGCACTGATTGCTGACTGTGCTTGTTATGTATGATGATTGACATTGATTGGTTGTGCCTCTGTATAAGGTCTCTGCCGCACTGCGAGCGTCGTACTGGAAGTTCCTGATCGTGCTGTGGAGTATTTGTTGAGTGGAATCCCTGATGAAGAGCAAATGCCTATTGAAGTCGGTGGTGAAGAAGAAGAGAGTGAAGGAGGTGAATTGTTTCAGTCCAATTTTTGGACAATCATGAGGAACTCTTACTTTTTAACCCATAACGGACGGCGTGCGCCACTAGGTGGCGCACGATTATTTCTTTTGTTTTTGGGAATGTTTCTAGCAATCTTAATATACCCATATATACTCTCAGCAATGTGGAATAACATATCTTCCCAGGACCTGGACGGCTGGATTTTTGACAAACCTACAATAAATTTTACATACATTTTGTCTTAATTTACATAAGTTTACTATTTGATGGGTGGCTTACCCATGGTTCGCACGTCCCGAGACCCCTTCCCCTAAATATAGCCACATCCTTGCTCGGGGTTGTTGTTTCGCATTTTTCGATAATGTCACCTACAGCTTCCATTCATTCTTTGCACCCTAGTTTTAGAGCGGAAAGGCGGGTTACGAACTTGTCGTCAACGGAAATCTCTTCTTTTGGATGATGAGACTCCGACACCTACTTTAGCCCCGTCTTAACCCTGCTGTTCGCATAAGCCTACATAAACCCTACCCTGGGTGGCGCAGGCGAAATAATACACTGGCCGTCCGTTATGGGTTAAGTGATTCGGCTGAAGCAATTCCCACATTCTGATACTTACAATCACCATCATTCTGTGGGAATAGTGAAATTAATTGTGCAGGGAATAGCGAAATTCATTGTGTGAATAAGAGGGACTCTCGCCCACTTACCCCCACCGTTGCTGCATCGCTAGAACGCATCGCTCGTACGCCGCTATTCGCTAGCGAATCGCTTCATTCACAAAGCCTGACACCGGCCATGTGGATACGTTCCTGGTGGGCGAAGTAGCTCTGCAGCTCTTCGTCCGAGTGCGCATTCCACAGCCTGGGGCTATTCATAGCCAGAAGGTCCCAACCTCTTTCCATCGTTTTGGCTAGTTTTTCTCCATCCGGCTGTTTTGACAATGAGTAAAGCTACTCCACTGCCGTCATCCACCTTCTTTGAGCTCCTAAATTTACTTACAATAAAATAGATTACGGCATTAACTCTATATTCCGTTTTACAATCAGCTTTCTTTGTGCTTACTTTATTTTTTTTCCCACATGACCCATGCTCAGATCAGATTTTTGACCCTTTCTGTTTTTGAATTTACATAAGTTTACCATTTGATGGGTGTTTTTGAAAGCTTGTTCATAGGTGAAGCTCCAGCGTCTCAGCTTGAAGCTCTGCGCCACTTACCGCAAATGGATGAGCTTCGTAATCTTGTGCGTTCCAATCCTGAGATTCTCCCTTCATTAATTCAGGTAAGATCAATTCGAGAACAGTTTGTCGTGTTCTACAACAACGATGTAGTTAGATCTTTTCGAAGAATCATGTTTTCTTCCTTATGATTTTCTAATAAGTAAGGCTGTATGAAACGCATAAAGGGGCTTCACACAAAAAAGCTCAATTTTAAATTTTCAGCAAATCGCAACTGTAAACCCTGAGCTGATGGAAATCATCCAAAACAATCAGGAGGAATTTCTGCGCATATTAAACACTGCGCCTGGTTCAGGTGCTGCACAGGTAGCCCCTTTTCCTTTTTTCTTTTACTATCCGGAAGCATCCGTATTGGTAAAGTACGTCGGTGAACGTTCACTTCACATCTGTGCTTTTTTCATCTTCTTTGGTTGTTAGCAAGCAGCTTGAACTTCAGATTCTTAATGCTTATATTGACTTGATTTGGTTTTGAGCGGAATGCTGGTGTGCAGTTTGTGTCAATTAGAACGAAGATCGTGATAGAAAAAATCCAGAGTGTAGATATTCAACGCAAGGTCCAGCAGGGGTGATGGTAGTAATCTTCTTGTTGTATAGGCTATGGTTAATGTCATTTGGAAGCCCTTGTGCACATGTCGGCTAGTGCCTGATGTTGTTCTTAGGTTGAAATATAGCTTCGGACTAGGTCCACTTCAACTTGGGGTTCACTGTGGATACAACAGTGGTTACATTAGCGGCATACGGTTTACACCTTGACGACAGCGTATTTTGCATCAGAGTCACGCTTCGTACATCGTTTGAAGCTATTGGGTTGACTCATAAATCCTGTCCCAATTGTGACACTTGTTTATTCGAGTTTTCTCTCTCATGGGCAAACTACTGACAACAGCATAAGAAACCGTCACAGTCACTGATATTCATGCATTTAGGGAGCCTTTGGAAGTGTTCTGCCCAGAACGAGGGAAGCTTGGGGTGGAAGAACTCGGAGAAGTCGTTTTTAGGTGGTGTTATCTTCTACTCTTTTCTCGCGCAGCTGATTTAGGACGCAAGGGAGGCGGTAATCCGAGGGAGCGATGCCAGTGTTTGGTGGATGTGATATCGAGCCCTGCTTATCTCTCCAGAACGTGGCGAGTTGGCATTGCAATGTGAGGTCTGGCGTACATTCGGAGAAAGGAGATCTGAGACGTTTCTGACGATTCCCTCGCAACCCCGAAGCCAGCCTAGAGGGCTATTCCACGCTGACTTTAGCAATGCTTGTCTTCATACATTGAAGTGGTTCCCAAACCAGGCCACCCAGCGAATCCAACAAACCGAGAGTGATATTCTCAGAAAACGGAGTTCGGGCTTTGGTTGAGCTGGTGCTTCCTGGCTGCGAGGTAGCCATCAGGAGTGCCACGTTTGTTGTCGCATGACTCATCTCCACTGAGGGCTGTGCTTGTGCGGTCGCGGAATGAGATTTCTCAGATGGTCAGGCGTGCTTCCCGCTCATGGTCGGCCGGACCATAAGGTTTCCATCAAAACTTCATTCTGCAGCAGTCCTTGCCATACTGATGGCGTTTGCTGGTGCATCGGCTGCGCCCAGGTATCTGCTACAATTTTCCGAATGCACTCCCTATTTATGGTCCCTCATCAAAATTACCGGAGACCCAGTATGAGATTGATCTTCACAGCTTGTTTCGCCAGTAAGTCCTTATCAATTTAGCTTTTTTTTTCATGGCCGTAACATGTCCATTGATCAAAATCCGTGGATTACGTTCTTGTTCACTACTTTATTATTCAAAGGTATTAAAGTTGATGATATTCTTTTGTATAATGTAAGAAATGTTGAAGTTTTTTCGTTATCGGATTTTTTCGCCTTTCACTGTTTACTAATGTGGTCACTCCACTATCATTCTTGTTTCTTAACTCTATAGTTCCTCTCCATAACAAATAGCTTTGATGGTTGATCGAAGGTAAAAAAATACCTACCATTCTCTTCACCAACCATTTTATAAATCTGATAGGTGTTTGTTAATGTTGGGTT